TATCAGGTCTGTGCAGTGTCATATGACATCTATGCACCAAGTTTCATTGAAATGTGATGATTAGTACTTGAGATATCAGTGGAAAAACCGAAAATTGACTAATCATTATGCAAATTAGTTAATTAGTATCCACGGATTATTACCAAAAACTAATCAAAACCTAGCATTAGTTCAGAGCATCTATGTACCAAGTTTCATCAAAATCTAATGAGTGGTTCTGTAGATATCCTTGGAACAGTCATAGAACTGCTAAAAATTAGCTAATTATCATGCAAATTGGTAATTAATATGCAGGAATTTTTACCAAAAACTAATCAAATCTGCGCATATGTTCAGAGCATCTATGTACCAAGTTTCATCAAAATCCAATGAGTGGTTCTTTAGATATCAGTGGAACAGTCATAGAACAGCTAAAAATTAGCTAATTATCATGCAAATTAGGTAATTAACGAGCATGGATTTTCACCAAAACCTAATCAAATCTGCGCAATGGCCCAGAGCATCTATGCACCAAGTTTCATCAAAAACCGATGTATGGTTCTTGAGATAGCAGTGGAACAGTCAGACACACATACACACGTACATACACACATACACACATACACACATACACACATACACACACACAGACACACTAACTGCAAAGACTCCCATTATGTGCTTCGCATGGGAGTCAATAAAAAATATATATGAACATTGTACAAACCATATTCAGCTACAATATATGCAAATTATACAAACCATATTTGGTTATTTATATTATACCAGCATTTCAATTGCCTGAATACATCATTCTCATTGGTCAAGAACATGTTTTCAGTTATGCAAGCCATAGTTAATTTAAAGATGACATACCATCGTTTACTATGTTTAGAAGAAAGCCCTAAATGTGAATAACATACAGTAGGGTTAAATCATTACTGTCATCATACAGACAGTATTTCGTCATTAAATATGCAAATTATATGGACCATACTTGGTGCTTATTAAATATGCAAATCATACAGACTATATTTGGTTATCAAATTTGCAAACCATATCACCCATATTACAAGAGGAAAATCATACAGATTATATTTGGCTATTATAGCTATTCAAATTATAAAGACCATATTCGGTTATTTAATAGATATGTAAATCATACAGACCATATTAGGTTATTAGATATGCAAATGATACAAACCATATTAGGTTATTTAATAGATATGTAAATCATACAGACCATATTAGGTTATTAGATATGCAAATGATGCCAACCATATTAGGTTATTTAATAGATATGTAAATTACACAGACCATATTAGGTTATTAGATATGCAAATGATACAAACCATATTAGGTTAATAGATATGTAAATTACACAGACCATATTAGGTTATTAGATATGCAAATGATACAAACCATATTAGGTTATTTAATAGATATGTAAATTATATAGACCATATTAGGTTATTAGATATGCAAATGATACAAACCATATTAGGTTATTTAATAGATATGTAAATTACACAGACCATATTAGGTTATTAGATATGCAAATGATACAAACCATATTTGGTTAATATTAGATATGCAAGTCATATAGACCATGTTCAGGTATTTTTTTTCATTATGCGAATCGTACAGACCATATTTATTATTTATACTTATTTACATCATACAGACATATTTGGTTATTAGATATTAAAATCATATAGACCATGATTAAATATTATATATGAAAATTCGTGCATAAGCTTACCATCTTTGGACATTCCCAGCGATATACATTTTTGCAATCTGCAGTATTGACAGCGATTCCTACTTGTTCGATTCACTTCACAAGATTTATCACGTGGACACAGAAAATCGGCTTTATTATTGATGCAACGACGAAAGAAACCCTGAAAAATAAACAAAAAAAAATAAACATCTCTTCAATAACCATATGAAAAATAAGTCTATGACAGGCATTGCCTTAGAACACAGTTTTGAAAATATTTTTATGTTAACAACATTTGACCAAATTTTATTCAGCCAAAAAAATGACTGAAGTAAAATGTAAAGGAAAAAATAACAATATGTAAACTTAAATA